GATAATCTTATCAAGACCTTGAAACATAACAAAATCCACAAACTACCATGACTTTCAAATCAATAATCTCTAATCTGTTCAAGCGAAGGTTGTGAGTTTTTAAGTTTCTACTTACTATAGTGTCAAAAAACAGTTTCATGTTATTTTTTTCATGTGTCATTTTTCAGACGAAATATTAACATTAATATTCTACGTAATAATTCGTTTGTTTAACCAACTAGTTTTTACTTTAAATAATGTTGTTTTCTTAGTGAAAAGCTACGCTACGGGCTATCTGCACTCTAACCATCAAGGGGAATCGGATTTAAGCATTATAAGACCGTAAACGTAACGGTGACCCTTTAATATAAAGAAACTGAAGCAATCAAGGTTCATGCTACGTTGATATAAACATAGGGTACAAGTACGCATGCGCAGTTGTTTGATGAAGTCACCTTTTCAATAGCTAGAACTTCCAAAACATATCTATTGATTGGTATCGGCTTTCGAAATTTGGTTAGTTTTAGCTGAGTTAGTGTTTACTTTTTTTTTTTTATTCCTGCAAACTCCCAGTGGAGCATAGGGCCGCAACAACACCTCGCCAACGGAAGGTGTTGTAGCAGGTTGGTTTTTACGGGGTGGAGTGCTAGCCCCGCGTCCTTTCTCATCCTGGACTTGGGACCAGGCAAAGGCGGAGGTTGGTGGGATGTTTGGTGTGACGGGGATTCGAACCCGCGACCCTCAGATTAGGAGTCGAGCGCCCTAACCACCTGGCCATGCCGGGCACGTGTTTACTTATAGTTTTAGATAATACTTACCTTTTCATACAGCAGTAACAGTTAGCACTAAAGTGACTGCTGTCCTTTATTTTAACATGAGAGGTATATAAGGACAATTTACTCGGTATTAATAATCGTCTCATAGCAGTTTTGATAATTAAAAGGTAGTTGAGGTCATCTTCTATATTTACAGAGGTATTCCGTGTTTACATTGGTGATCGTAATTCGTGAATTTTGGTATATTATGTTGTTACACAATTTAGAGCGCGTCTATTTAATTTGTATATTTATAAATAGCGAGAGAGTGAACCTTAACATATTCAATTTTCCATACACCTTATTTTTCATTTGTTTTGAGTTAAAGTTAACAAAAAGCATGATTCAACTCTACAGGTCAGTCAACCCTAATGGTTAACGTATGGGGCTGCAAACTGAAAAGTTCAATGTTGAAGAAGTGACTGCATTGTAAGAGTAAAGGTCATTATTCGTTTCGAAGCTGGACAAAGATCTTGTGGCTGCGGGTGCGCCTTTCCTTCTGGTCAGTAATTCAAGATTTAGGACGGTTCTGACTTTACCTTAAGAGTCTATATCCTGTTGATCTTGTAATTTTGCCCATGTTTCATTAAGGTTCAGTAATTTAGCCCATGTGCCATTAAGGTGTTGTTCAATAATTTAGCCCATGTATCATTAAAGTTCAGTAATTTAGCCCATGTGCCATTAAGGTGCTGTTCAATAATTTAGCCCGTGTTTCAATAAGGTTCAGTAATTTAGCCCATGTGCCATTAAGGTGCTGTTCAATAATTTAGCCCATGTGCCATTAAGGTGCTATTCGGGCTGTAAATACTTTGTGTATTTGTTTCAAAGGTAACGCACACACTGTCCAACCACTGTACGCTTAGAATATCCAAATGTTTTTACTCAATACTGTGAAAGAAATACTTTTTTATTTAAAAATGCCTTAGTTATTTTCTTTGCAAGAAAACAAAAAACATTGTGTACTCGTATTGATCAACTGATGAAATAATGACTTATTTATGAGAAATCGTTTTGTTTGAAAGCTGAAACAAAAAACGCATACACAAATTAATGAAGCTACTTATAAAATGTCAGAAAACATTTGATCTGTCTTGCTAATTCATTGCTGGTATCATGTGCATTTTTCTGTGAAATGTTCTTGTCTTAGTTTTTCCACTGGGAGTCAACAATGAAACCTGTTATTTGAACGATCCACAACTCTCAACAGAGTAAGGAGTCAGTTGATAACATCTGAACTGTCTCTTATGTTCTATTACCGACCTTGGTTAGGTTCTCTGCTCTCCTTATACTCGGACGTTAAGTCCTTGTGTCAATATTTACCATTACTATCCATTAATGAGCCATTGAAACAGTATCACTCATCATGGCGCCCTATCCAATCGAAGCATAGACTGAGGGGATGACATCGTGTAAACATTTCGGAAAGCTTGAGTATACGAGTTTGCTTTCAACAATGTGCGAGCGAGGTCATTCGTATTAGGCGTAGTAGCTTTTAATTGTGTACCACGAAATTATATGTGAATAATGGCAAGTCGTAAAGAGTGGATATAAATAGACAGAGCAATGTAAAAAATGAATACATCAACAGATGTCCGGTTGAGTGAAAGAGAGATAAATGCTCAGGAATGTTGATAATTGTTTGTTTGTTTTGTTATTATGCACAAAGCTACACAAAGGGCTATCTGTGCACTGCCTACCACGGGTATCGCAGACATACCACTATGCCACTTGGGGGTTGTTGATAATTAATGATGTAGATACACAGTTCATAACGAAGAGCAGTGTTTTCCAAACAGTGAAGCGCGCCCTTGAGGGTTTGTGGCGGAAGAGCCCCCCCCCCCCAAAAAAAATATGGAAAAAACAGAAGAATTGGAAATTGTTTGGTTGGTTGTTTGGCGTAATTTGGGCGCAAAGAAACATGGCTATCTGCGCCGATGAGTTGGAGACGACGATAACCAAACAAAACTATCACTTCAGTCTCGCATTTATTCACTTCTTACAAGCGTTTTTACATTAAAAAATTCATTAAAAACAGGTAAAAAAATTTTGATTTTACCGTGATCGCTTGCGAATATCATTTTAATGTGGGGGGCGCAATGGAATCTTAGATAAAAAAAATGTTGATTTTACCGTGATCACTTTCGAAAATCTATTTTAATGTGGGGGCGCAACGGAATCTTAGGTAAAACAAAAAAACAAAAAAAAAAAAACAGAAGATATTACTATTGAGGAAGTTAGATAGGTGGGTAGATATTCTTAAGCTACTTAGATCAGAGTTGGGATAACTTGCCTATTAACTGTCTATTGTGAAAATACGGTGTAAAAAAACGTTTTATTTGAATTTTTGTACTTAAATAGATCTATATTACACGCATAACAAACTTTTTGTGAAATACGTTAGATAAAGTATATTGTGTTTGTTTATTGTTAAGCACAAGTTACATAATGGGCTATCTGTGCTCTTGTCACCACGAGTATCGAAATCCGGTTTCTAGAGTTCTAAGCCTTCAGACGTTTCGCTGAGCTCCTGG